ACCCCCACCCTGCCCAGGGCACCTTCGCTCCCTCGGCGAAGACGAAAAATCAGGACAGAGTCTGTTGAAAACTTTCCAATTAAACTGTTCCTTTTGATAATCACAGCTGCAAAGGATCTTGTGAGCTTCTTCTATATCTTCCACAGTGGTATGTATGATTAGTTCTCTTCACCTTTTTATAGAATTTTGGAATTGGCTCTTGAAATTTTGATTCTTCGTTATTACTTTCTTGAATTTGGTTTTCTGATGGATTCAAGAAGGGTCTGCGTCTCGTTTAATTATCTTTGGGTTTTGTGTTTTTTAAAGCTCTACTATTTTGTTTTAGGACTTAGGAGTATTCTACTTTAATTCGAAATTACTGCTGGTAAATAATTGAATTTCAAAAGTAACAAAAAAAGTTTCTGATTTTCCATAAATATTGAATAAAAATGTGTTGATAGTAATAGATTGAGAAGGGGGAAAAGCAGAAATCTAAGACTCGGTTTTTAATTCAAAGATCCTGGCTTTCTTTGAATGCTCTTGGGTATGGAGCTTTATTTAGACAGAATTGTACTGGGCACTGTTGAATCTCTCGGTTTTTTGTTTGATTCTGTGTAGAGATTTTTTTTTTCTTAAAAAAAAAACTAAGGTGGTAGACGGACAATCTGCTGGAGAAAAAGAATAAAATTTGTTAGGGGAGAAAAAGAAAGAAGACGAATGAAGGCAAAATACAAGAGGAATATAAGGTTATTCACCTAATTTATTTCGGAAAGCACGGTATTCTAGCATCTTGGTCCAAAGCACTGGTCACATGGTTAGTCAAAACTATAACAATTTGTAGATATATTTTTATTTCATGAGAAAAAGATGAGTTTTCATTATAGGGTAACATATTGATATTTTCTTCCAGTTAATGCCATTTGAAAACCTGAAGCAATCATTGGTTCTCCCGGTTTTGGCAATGTCCAGATATATTATCTTCTTTTTGCTTCATTATCTTTTGGAAATAATAAAGGGTTAACCCTGCAAATTGGATATACTGCAAATGAAAGGAAATCTTGTATATCTTGTCTTGGAGTTTCTCATGAGCAATTTCCCCTTCTGTGGCAGGTTATTTGCATAGTGTTCTCTCTCATTGTGCTGAGAATGAGTTGAATATCAAGATACGCAAAATGGGACCTGAATTAGAGAACAAGCAAAACGCAGACATGATTTTGGAGGCTTCTGCAAAGAAGCAGAACGGAACTGATTCTAAAGAACTTGAAGCTAGTCATGTAAGCAACTATGAAGACTGTACCTCATTGGCTGAACAAGTAAAGGGAGTCCATGGCTGTGAGGATGATGAAATTGATATTACAGAATGTACAAGACCAGCTAATAATGTGCTGGTGGAATCAGACAAGGAAGAATTGACAGAGAGTTCAAGTTCTTTTGAGAGTATTTTTTCTGAAGCAGAGAATTGCTGCACAACTATGAGTGATGCCGAGTGTACATCAGAATACAACGGTGACGCTACATCAAGACTAGCATTTAGTGGATTTGGTGACATATTTAGGATGACGTATGTATTACTTCTCCTAGATCCTTATTTCTTGGATATCCCTATTTTTTTTCTCTATAGGCTGCATCTTGTTTTCTGGTGCCTTGAATTTGATGATTCATATGTGAATAAACATTAGAATCCATTGCTTCATTCATCAGAAAAGGAAACTGATTGCAGAACTCAAGTTCTCTTTCTTGACATTTTGTCAGTGGGTAAACTCATACTAGCATTTTTAGCTTTGCACAATCATGTACAAAAAGTTGCTCATCTTTATTTTCCGTTGCATGATATGAATTGAACCTAAAGATGATTTCATGAGTATTTTCTTTAGGATTTTATGGCTGCTAATTTTAGACCTTAATGGCCTTATTTGTGATAAAATGAGCTAATTGAGAACATTGCCATCATGCCTAGTAAGAGCTATTCCGGGTTTGTGGTGGGTTTACTTGTTTGTCACTGATTGTTTGGGCATTTAATTAGGTTGAGAGAAAGAGATAGAGTATTGGCTGGCATGTGAATGATAAATCAATAAAAAGGTAATACCTTCCAAATAGAGAAAGATGGTGATAGCCATTTTATCTATTCTATAACTCTAACAAAAGCCGGAGTTTGCAAAAGTTACATAGAGGAGAGAAATAAACTCTGGAAATTGATGAGTGGGTGGAGAGTGAGTGGTTACTGTTAAAATGTGCTCTGGTGGCACAATCATGCCAGTGAACATGCGCCGGCACATCCATTAAAGTCAATTTTCTTGTTACATTAAATGAATGGGTTTGTCTGAAGAATTATCTATGCATGGTTTAGTTGTTAAACCAAGCTGTTTTTCTTTTTTGGATAATGGTGGTGGTCGGGCCAGCTTGTGCGCACTTCAACTAATTCACCTGGTATATACTACCTTCCACCAATATAGGTATTGGGCAACTCTTCCACCAAGGTTTCGGCATATAGAAAGAATTCACTTAGTGTCACCTCTACTAAGATTTGAACCTTGGTTTCGTTACTCAGATTTTCAACCTCGAGGGTACCCTCCTAGGGCAGTTGTACAACCAAGTCTGCCATGAACTGACTTTTGAGGTTCTTGTTCACAGTCAGAACTAACTAGTTGTCTCATCGTTGACTTGTGTCAAGGTTCATGCGTCAGATTCAACATTCGTTGAGGGGTGCTGTAGTTCTTTTTGTTGTGTTTTGTCCCTTTCCAGAGTAAGAGAATATCTGTAAAAACCTTAACATTTACCTTGTTATTGTCCTTTAGGAGGAAAAAGGTGACCCCTCATTGGAGAGACTTTGTACAACCTCTTAGGCAGCGATGCAAGTTGATTGAATTGAAACTCCATATGCTTCAGTCTCGAGCTCGAAAATATGAGAAACAAATGGGGGATATCAAGTGTCAGATGCAACGTCAGCTGGGAAGTGTTGAATTGGAAGGTTTAGGTTCAAAGTCACTTCCATTTTCTTGTAATAGTTTAAGAGATAAGGTTGTGAAGAGAAAGAAGAGAAGAAGAACTGAAGACACACTGGATATAGCAGCTTATATGTCTCATCATCCCTTGTTTTCTTTCTTTGGTAATATTTTCATTTGTTGTCCTTTAGCCAGATATTCTTATTTTCAATTGCAAGTCATGAATTTATATTTGTGAATTGCAGAAAAGAGAAACTCAATTGCTGATGGTTCTTTTCCGGACAATGAGCTGGGAAAAATAGGTAAGGATGCATACTTTTCTTAATCTTGAGCTGCAATTGCTATTGTTTTGTGTTGCTTCTTGGTGGAAAAATATTTTGATAACATCAAAATAGCAATGGATACATTGTTCCTATTCATGTCTCTTGCTCCCCAATATTAATGGCAATTGCACACACAACTGAGGTTATGTTTGGATGTGTATGAATTGGACCTCTCTTGAGACACGTGCTGTTTGGT